CCGACAAGTTATAGCAAATGTATGCTATAACCCTTTTCCAACACCTTAATGGGCAAACTCAAGGAAACAAGGTACCAACTTAAGCTTAGCACCATGGATCACCATTGAGAATCTAGTCAAAGCTACTACAATGCTACTTCGTACAAGTAGATTAGCTTCACCATCAACCACTTTGGGGTTGATCATCATTTAACCAAGCAACTTTGTAAACGCATTACTCTTTATCACATGGATATGATATAAGCATCACAATGACTTGATCATCAATTGAGCAACACCATGAGCAATGCCTATATCATTACTTCAAAAGTTTATGTGAGTATTAAGTGTCAACTCGATTCGACAAAATGCAACATAAATGCCACACTCTACCGATAGAAATTTACAACATCGAACACCACTAACTTTTGTTCATAACATGGACAAGTTCATGCCACTCTCTTTCCGACTAAACTCAAAACTAATCCAACACCAAGCTATTCAATGAGCAATAGCAAAGTTCCCCGGAAAAGAATTGAGCATTGCAACCCAAGTCTTCTAATAGCAAGCCTAGACAAAATGGTTTAGCGTTTCACCGCTATCCATCCCACAACTCACTATTTGTAAGACCATCACCTCCAAGATGCATCAAGGTAGGGACTCTTGATTGCATAATATGAACACAAGCAATGAGTTAACACCTCGTTGCAAATCATCTCTCCAAGAAGAGAAAATGATTTATGTGTTTGATCCTTTATCCTCGACGACTCTCTTTTCGGCCTCATCTTGACTAAACTTCAAGCTTGCTTTCACACTGCCTTCAGTTCAATCCAAGAAAAGTTTATGAGAGAGCACAACAATAATTACTTGAACCAATAGACTAATCCCTACAGTCTTGATTGATCCACTTATAATCATGCCTAGGAAGGATCCACTAGTGCCGTGCTAAACAGCTACGGACCAGCCTATTTGCCACTCATAGTAAACCCAAAGAGGTTTGCTTTCACTCATGGTACATAGAACAACTCATGGAACCATCGATAGGTTAACATTAATCCTGTCAACTCAAAGTGTAACCTTGAATTGCTAATGCGCCTCACTCACGAGCCCAAGTGCAAACTCGTGTAAAGTCAGTCTACCCTATGAGCCCAAGAGCAAGCTCACATAATATGGAACAAAAAGGTAACCAAAACCTATCCCAAGGAACCAATGCGAAGTCTTTACACCAAAACATGTACCCACTCGGATCATCGTTTTCATCTCTGCGTATGCAACGAGACTAGTTACCCAATCTCATTGAATAGTTCTCACCGAGACTCTACCTCTGATACCAAATGTA